GTAAGGTTTTGCCTAATTAGATGTAGAAAAATGGATTTCTTTCTATGCCCAACATTGTGATTATGAATCTTTTTATGGAAATGATATTTATACAATTTTTTGACATATTTTTTTATATAATTTGGTATATCATTAAAATGATTAATTTTTTAATTCATATAAAATTTATAATATTGAATACATTTATTTATTTAATGATATATAAAAATTATATAAAAATAAAATAAAAATATTATTTTAATAGCACCACCCATCATAAAATAATTAAATTTGTGCGTCACGGCCTCGTTTCTCATCCCACGCGTTGCCGTGTACTCCTAATCATGTGGTAATTAAGAGCGCGAGATGGTCAATGTATTATTCTACGTGGATCATAGTTCTTCTACTTAATACATATCACATATCATTTTATATCATTTATTTAATAACATATAAAAATTATATAAAAAAATAAAATTAAAAAATTATTTTAATAACACCACCCATTTTAAAATAGTTAAATTTTTGTGTCACGACCTCGTTTCTCATTCCGCGCGCTCCCATGTATTCCTAATCATGTGGTAATTAAGAGCGCGAGATGGTCAATGGATTATTCTTGATGGACCATAATTCATCTAATTAATACATATCACACATCACTGGCAATAATTTTAGACCCGACCAGTCAACTTGCACTTCACTCACCGCCAGCCCCAGCATTTTCACGGTCATGAAGCATGATTTTCGTTTTTTCTTGTTTTTTGACTATTACAATTGTGGATAAGAGGGAGTTGATGCATTTCTCCAATGTGCCCAAGAACAAGTGCGGGTCAGAACGGATGAATTTTTTTATTTATTTATAAATCATATGAAATAGCATTAAGTCAGATAAAGCATACACTAAGTTTGGGGGAATCCATTTCTTGATATATCAATATTAATAGCATGTTGCATTTGAGAGAAATAAAAACAAAAGAGAATAATAGAGATCTTTAGTAATTAAATTATAATATGTAAATATATTATAATTTAATTAATAAATTTTTTCTCCTCTTCAAACTAAATACACTATAAGATACATCAAAATAAGCATGAATATGTTCAAGCATTTACCAAACTATAATATGGCTGTAACCGAAACCGACTGACAATGTTTTTGATTGGGCTATGGCGGCCATGAGCTACAGAATTTATCTTGGGCCAATTACTGTGGGCGGCGCAAGAGTCAAATCTAGACTGAGCCCTTCAGAATTCTTGTAGTATTCTTTCTCCTCCCTGGCCGTAATCTCTGCTTTTCCGGCGGTCGCTTCATAGGAGGAGGTGTCCGCCGGTGGGCGATTCTCAAAGACATGAACCCCAAATGCCTTGAGAGAGCGTTTTTCTACTTTCTCATCTGCAACACCAAATCGCTTGGCTACACTATCTTCAAACCTGCGATGTGATTTACAAGTAGCTTCGCCGGCGTTACCTGACGGTAAATCGCCGACGGTGGCACTGGAATGCTTAGGAGATGGCTTATCTGCTCTCTTCACTTCGATCTTGTAATCCAAAAACCCTGCTTCATCTTCCTCCTTGTAAAGTGTCACAACGTCGCCCTCTTTTAGTTTGTTTTTAAGAGCAAATCGTTTCCACCCTTTGAAAATACAGGCTTTTTATACCCTTTTTTGCGAGTTGTGCACAAAATTGGCCACACGGTGGTTCCATGCCGGACGTGCAATTCCACCAAGTGGTCGCCTCTGTTGGGTAACAAGAAGGTCATAATTTTGGTGGGGATGGCTAATCTCTTGCGGACATCAGTGGAAGTAAGTGACTTTGAGAAGAGCTGCATCACTACAGAGAAAACAGGGGAGGGGTTTTTGGATTTGGAATTGGATAGGGGATGAGAAGCTTCGAATTGGAAAATATATATATATATATATATATATTTTGGTGGGGATGGCTAATCTCTTGCGGACATCAGTGGAAGTAAGTGACTTTGAGAAGAGCTGCATCACTACAGAGAAAACAGGGGAGGGGTT